TTTGGGAGGAGATTCCCACTGTCCTACTCATGCCACCATCTTGGCTCTGCCTCCTATTAATTATATTTTTATATTTTACATGGTTTTAGGAGGAAGCCTCTGCCTCACCTCTCATGCCGCCATCTTTCATCCTTTCTCTCACTAATAACCATGTTTTTGCTGTGTGCCAGGATTGTTACAGGAAGTTTATAAATATGCACTCATTTAATTCTCATGACAACTCTATTAAGTAGCTAACAGCCAATATCTTATCCTCATTTCTCAAATGAGGAAACTGAGACACACAGAAGTTAAATAATCGAGATTACACAGCGGGAAAGTGGTCTAGTTGATTTGAACCCATACAGCCTGGCTTCTGAGACAACATTTCTGGCCACAGTGCTATACAGTTGCCCAGGGAACAGTCTTATCATGAAGGGCAGCTAGATGTTTAGCATTACTGCAGGGGTTCACAGGCTTGAAAGCACTGACGCATTCAGTGCTCTGCAGACATCAACCATTAATGCTCATCCACTGGGTTCAGCGTGACAGGCTGTTGGCGACTCTGGTGAGGAGAGTTTCTTGGAAAGTTCTGGATAGGAGCACGAGGTCAGTGAGCTGAGAAATGCACCAGCAGTGGGAGAGCAGAGATAATAAGTGTGAATGGCTCTCTTACCAACTGAGTACGCTGCTGTTTTTCCCTGAGATCATGTCGCGGAGGCAACAAAGAATGAAGCCAGCAGACAAGAGTAAGGAACAACCAGCGAAGCTCTTTTAATGCGTGAAAAGAGAAAGTTCCTGCTACTCAAGAGGGGCTCTAAAATAAGATGCCCTCAGGGCTGTTGGGTCTGGGTTTATATTGCCTCCTGAGAGGAGGAAGTCCCACCCTCCCAGTACCAAATAGAGAACTGATGACATCACAACCCACTCTTGACTGGCTGAAAGTATAATGCTTCATCTGCACAGGACATCACCAGTCAGAGCTGAAGCCTATCTAACTAAGTGTACTCTTTAAGTGAGTTTGATTGGAGTTTTTTGAAGTTTACAAGGGTTTTGAAACTTAGAAGAGCCTTGAAGCTTACAGGGGCCCTGAACTCTTTGTTTTTTCTTTCATAGTTTTTTGCCTTTGATTTTTTTTATTTTGTTATCATTAATCTACAATTACATGAAGAACATTATGTTTACTAGGGTCCCCCCATTCATCAGGTCCCCCTCACAAACCCCATTACAGTCACTGTCCATCAGCATAGTAAGATGCTGTAGAATCACTACTTGTCTTCTCTGTGTTATACAGCCCTCCCCATGACCCCCCACATTATACATGCTAATCGTAATGCCCCCCCTTTTTATTAGGGTATCATTGATATACACTCTTATGAAGGTTTCACAAGATAAACAATGTGGTTACTACATTCACCCATACTATCGAGTCCTCCCCCATACCCCATTGCAGTCACTGTCCATCAGTGTAGTAAGATGCCAGAGAGTCACTACTTTTCTGTGCTACACTGTCTTCCTCATGATCCTGCACACACCATGTGTACTAATCATAATACCCCTGAATCCCCTTCTCCCTCCCTCCCCACCCACCCTCCCCCACCCCTCCCCTTTGGTAACCACTAGCCCCTTCTTGGAGTCTGTGAGTCTGCTGCTGTTTTGTTCCTTCAATTTTGCTTCATTGTTGTACTCCACAAATGAGGGAAATCATTTGGTATTTGTCTTCCTCTGCCTGACTTATTTCATTGAGCATAATACTCGAGCTACATTCATGTTGTTGCAAATGGTAGGATGTTTCTTTCTTATGACTGAATAGTATTCCATTGTGTGTATGAACCACCTCTTCTTATCCATTCATCTACCAATGGACACTTAGGTTGCTTCCATATCTTGGCTATTGTAAATAGTGCTGCAATAAACATAGGGGTGCATACATCTTTTTGTCTGAGAACTTGTTTTCTTTGGGTAAATTCCTAGGAGTGGGATTCCCAGCTCAAATGGTATTTCTATTTTTAGTTTTTTGAGGAACCACCATATTGCTTTCCACAATGGTTGAACTAATTTACATTCCCACCAGCAGTGTAGGAGGGTTCCCCTTTCTCCACATCCTCACCAGCATTTGTTGTTTCTAGTCTTTTCAATGTTGGTCATCCTAACTGGTGTGAGGTGATAACTCATTGTGGTTCTAATTTGCATTTCTCTGATAATTAGCGATGTGGAGCATCTTTTCATGTGCCTGTTGGCCATCTGAATTTCTTCTTTGGAGAATTGTCTGTTCATATTCTCTGCCCATTTTTTAATTGGGCTATTTGCTTTTTGGGTGCTGAGGCATTTGAGTTTTTTATATATTTTGGATGTTATCCCCTTGTCGGTTATATCATTTACAAATATATTCTCCCATATTGTAGGATGCCTTTTTTTCTGCTGATGGTGTCCTTTGCTGTACAGAAGCTTTTTTGCTTGATTTTTGCTTTAGTTTCCCTTGCAGGGGCCCTGAACTCTTATCTTCCTACGTCCCTCTATTACCTGCCTCAGCTCCTTTAGAAGCCCAGCTGCAGGGAGAGCTTTCCTACCATGTGGAGATTGGGGCCAGTTTGGGTTCAGGGGAGCTGGCTCGCTGAAGGGGCAAACCTGAACATACATATTGGAGAGGAGAGTGGGTGGATTGCAGAGACCAGCTCTACAAACCAGCTGAACCTGAGAGGAGTGGATGAGGAGAGAAAGATATAAGAAAGACATGGAAACCAAAGCTGGGATCAGGAGGTTCACTGACTGCTGATGGCGGACAAGTGACGCAGTTTATTTTCTGAGCACAACTTACATACACAGGCTCATAATGATGTCATTTCTGGACTGTACTCATATCCAGTGTTGTTACATCTGCTTCCAGTGATAGCACTTCCTGGTTCCCGGATCTGGTGATGTCACTTCCGGGGTGACATCACATCCGGCCCTCCACAGTGGATCACAGCCCCGAGCTGGCAAATGGGGCTTCTGTCCTGTGCATCTTCAGGACAGACACCCCCTAGGATGCACCATGTTCTGTGAGGTAGGAGGCAGGCCATCTTAGCCTGAGGAGTGGCAGGGCCTTGAGAGGACCCCTAGGGGCTGAACATTGGACAGTCCTGTCCCAGCCTGACTGAAGGCAGGTAGAGCAAGTGCAAAGGGGGCCCAGTTGGCTTTATCATTGTTTTCTTTCTAAACCTCTTCCTACCTTAATTTCATTATTCCTCCCCAGGTACCTGATGTCCTCCTGTTCCCAGCTGTCTAATTTAAGGTAAGCTCTAACATCCAGTTATTCATACTTGTTGAATGACAGATTATACTTTGATGGGAATCCAAACTAACAAGTTAGGTATACTAAAACTTTTTCTTTCAAATTATGGAGTAAAAACCTGTTTTTCTGAGTTAAAGGGCATTTCAACAAGGTGGAATAGAGTTAGTTTGAGGGGCTGCTGAGATGACCTAACTAGCTGATATGTAAGCCACTGAGACCAGTCTTCCCAGGAGAACTTCAGAATTAGAAAAGGGCTGGCTAGGGGTGGCATCCTGTATTTCTGCTTTAAAAGCATTCATCTCTGATGTAAATGAAATGTACCATGTTTTAATCACTGTATTTGTCGATCTTTACTTGGAGTAGCATCAGAGAGGTCTGTAATTTTTTAGACAAAAGTATCTAGTAAAAGTTAGGGCTCCTATTGCTAGTCTTGCCCATCAAGATGTGAGCACCTTGACTTTACTGTCACCAGCAGCGCACAGGCTCTGTGTGCTGTGGGAGCTCCTGCTGTCTTCCTGGGCTTGGCCCTCAGAGGAGATTCCCATCCCACTGAGCAAATGCAGTGCCTTGTTTTTGCCAACAGCAGATAGATTTGGGCTGGTTTACCTTCTTCTCAAACAGGGTTATGATTTAAGCCAGAACAGAGCCGACAGGTCTACTAATAGACCAAACTCATCAGTTTACCCTTGTTAAAAATACAAAGGCAGATTTTCAGAATGCTTTTGAGTACTAATTGTAAATTTATTGGAATGAGACATGCTTCAAGTTTTGTGTTTAGGAAGACAGTTCAACCACATTTCCAGTAACTACCTTACCTCTATCATGACAATAGGCTTAAACAGATCTTGGCATCTTAGGTGATTTTTATTTATATTTTCTGGAATATAACCAACTGGAATAGCTAGCAGTGCAAGCATTACTATGTACCATCTACTTTTTCCACAGGTTCCCTTTGCTTTTTGGATACACTGTCTTTTACATGTCTGCCTTGCCACCATCAACATTCTCCTCATTCTTGAAGGCCAAAGAGGAATACTCCACCACCTCTCCACTGTTCCCCACTGGCCTTAGCTTGCCCTGGACTCTGTATTCCTCCCTTTAATGGTGGAAGCTCTGCCTTGTGCTCTGGTGGTTGGTCTCTGGCACTTGAACTCCTTAAGGGCAGGGACTGTCCTATTAATCTCAAACCCCCTGCAGCACCCAAGCACAGGGCCTTGTGTATGGCAACCACACAATAATCTTCAACTCTGTGGAATGTCCTTCAACTCTGTGGACTGCAGTGCTGCAGTATCAGTAATAGGCCAGTATGTCACGTCCCGACCCACCCTTAACTGCAGTTCATGGGCATTACCATTTCTAGGCAATAATCTATACAACCAGTACTTTCTCCCTATTAATGTTAAGTCACACAGAAAGAAAAAAAAAAACCCAACCAGTTTAGGTAGTTTCACAGCTAGAGAAAAGCCTGACCTTAGTTTTGTCAACTAATATTCACCCCTCAGTTTCAATATTCAAACCTAAACCCTTAAACAAACCACTTATCAACTGGAAATAAGCACTTTGAAGATGGAGGAGGTGGGAAAAGGGGATGGAGATGAATACATACAGGATAGCCATGTGGTTTCCCTACCACATTCACAGTAATTGAACTCATTACTATTCTCCACCAAGCAGGGGAATGCCAAACATGTTTACTGTCTAGTTCAGACTAGAAAAGTGACTTTGAGGCCAAAACAAAATGTACAGATCTTGGAATCTTAGGTGATTTTTATTCATACTTTCTTGGATTTTGTTCTCCATTTATATGGACACACATACATTAATTGGCAATTTTCCTGAGGGCAGTAATACAAGCCATTTCAAATTGTGCAGTTCAGTGGCATTTGGTACATTTACATAGTGCACAACAATCTCCATGATTCCTCTCCAGAACTTTTCCATCATCCCAAATTGTCCTCATTAAACACTGACTCCCCCACACCCCTTCTGCCAGCCCCTGGCAACCATCATCCTTTCTGTCTCTGTGAATTCGGACCACCTTAAGGACCCCATTGTAAGTGGAATCATATAGTATTTGTTCTTCTGTGACTGATTTATTTCACTTAGATAATGTCCTTAAGGTTCACCTGTGCTGGAGCATGTCAGAATTTCCCTTTCTAAGGTTGAGTAATATTCTACTGTTTGTACATACTTTTGTTTATCCATTAATCTTTGGGTGGACATTTAACATGTTTCCACCTTTTGGCTACTGTGAATAATGCTTCTATGAACACTGCTATATAAGTATCTGTTTGAGTCCCTGCTATTAATCTTTATTTTGGTATATACCTAGAATTGGAATTTCAGGAATCTATTACAGTTCCCTATGTTTAACCTTTTGAGAAGCTGCCAGCTGTTTTCCACAGCAAATGGCACCGTATCTTCCTTTTCTAAAACACTCAGAAGATTAAACTGTAGTGTTTCTGAAGAATGTTTTCAGATAAACAATTTATAATTGTATAAATAAATTTGTTAACTCAACTGTCATTCATAAATACAAAATTTTATTTGTACTTCATTAGTGTAGAAAGACCACAATGCTTTTCATACCACAACACTCAAAAGACACACCAAGTTACTCAAATACATAATCACTTATATACCTTGACTAAACAAAACAGTGCAGTTTAATAAAAGATATACCAAAGATAGAGTTCACAAATTCAAAAAAAAAGAACACAGTCTGGGCTTGTTAAGAATAAACTTCACTTTTAAGGGGCAGAATTTTACCATTACAAAGGTGTAGGATGTTTAGGCAAATACATGTATGTTCTTTTGACATAGTAAGATGTATCTCTTTAAAATTCCTTTAAACAGGATTTGTTTAGGACAGCAGCGTTGTTTTTAAAATCTTCTATAGTTTCAAAAACACTTCTTTCTTTATTGAATCTTTGTAGTTTTAAAAGCATAGGGTATGTCTATTAGGAAACCATGAGAGAGACTCTGTGGCCTCAGAACCAAGTCAAATGCTTCCCTCTAATAATATTCTACCATTATGTAACGTTAATAAATAGCCTTCAATGACAGTATGAATGGAGCTCTGCTTTGTGGAAGAAACACCCTAATACTTCAGAGATGCTACAGCTAGGGGAAATATCTTGTAAATAAAGAAAAAGCACTTAAGATAGCTTCTCCTGCCAAAATCTTTAGTTTTACAAATTTTCTTTAAAACGGCAAGCAAAGCACCACATTCTTTCTTATTAGTATCTTCTGTCCTCATAATATAATTAAGGACAATTATATTATTTATTTCAAGAAACATTATACCTTTCATTTCTCCCACTCTTCATATTAGAAGTACTTTGTCTCCCAGTGTGTGCACACTAGACACTGGGATAATGAGCGAAATAAAATAATTTGGAGGGAAATATGTAATTTGTAACCAAAACTACCCAGGAGTGCATATTTGCATATTTACAAGTTAGTGTATAGCTCTGACTTGGGTTACAAAGTGCGAAAGGAAATTGTCAAAATGATTGTAGTGCAGAACAGAACATTTTCCCCTTTCCAGGAATAGTTTCCACTTTGTCTCCAAAGTAGCCAGTCAACAGCATCGGACGTGCGGTCTCGGTGGAGGCAGTTCTGGCGGAATCTCAGGCTCTGGTTGCAAAGAGAGGATGCTATTGGACAACTCACTCCTTAAAATATCCAGAGGCATCTTAAGGATAAAGAAGAGAGACAAATGCATTAACTGAACAGTGTATATATAAGTGCTTTGCAAACTGTACAATTATGTAAGAACAAAGTATTTCTAAATAAAGCTCTTCAATCATCAAAGCTTAATTAGACATTCAAATATTATATCAAAAATAAAAACCAGGTTTGTGTATTTCATGTTACAACAGGAGCAGTGCTGAGCTAGCTTCACACTCTATGGTATTAAAGGGATCAGATGGGCCTTATAAACGTGTTATCTTCATAGACCCCACTGTAGTGGAAGTTTAGTGCATTAATATATGGAAAAATGGTTCTGCATTCTTACAGGTTATATTTTTACTAAAGAAAAAACCTCTCAGCAATTACATAAACAACCATCTTCTGAATTATATTTGAGTTGAGCAAATTATATGTAATAATAATATAAATAAGCCTAAAGCATATTCTTACTAAAAAATCTTTTAAGGAAAGCTTAAAGGTGCCTGCAGAAGTTGCTGTTGCTCCATTATGCTGCCTAGCAATTTTCCTGCAAGTCAGCATCACGGAGGGGCCGGAGGCACAGAATCAGACTCCCACCAGAGAGCAGAGCACTGGGAATGGGGCAAGGACGGGTGCTCTCTCCTCAGCGAAGACATCTCATACTCCGCTAGGTCTCCACTGTCTGTACTAACTTAATTCTTGTGGGAAAACAGGAATAAAAGAAAAGCAGATGGCAAGCAAACCAGGCACTGTGTTAAACCTGTTCCAGGCTCTCCAGCCAGTCACAGTGGAGTCTCAGCAGACACACTGGGCCGCAACACTAAGGACACTGAGAACCCCTGGGCAGCAAAGAGCTGCCCGCCACACCAGCTGGAAGCTCTTGGCCGAGCTGACAACTTCACCTGGCTCTTCAGCTTCTGAGTAACTGCCATGCTGCCCTTTCTAAATAAAAAATTCTCAACCAAAAGTAATAAAGGAAACAACAGGCTTTGGCTGAAATAATTCCATGAGATAGATGGTTATCTTACCTTTTTCAGAATGTCATCAACAAGTTTCAGAAATATCTCATCCACATTGAAATTATCCTTGGCACTCGCTTCGCAGAACCGCATCCCAGTTATCTGCTGTGCAAACTAAAAAAAAGTATATTTTTTCTGTGTGGTGTAACTGGGGAAATTAGCCTTTGGGCTTCAGCTTTATGGAAAGGGGTGGGACTATAGGTGAGTGATGTCCCATTTACTCTCAAATATAAAGTTCACATGTGCAGCAAAACAAAACAAAACAAAATCCTTAAGGTGATACCAGACATTCAAGTCGACTGCTTGCCTAAGTTCCTAAAATTGTAATATATGCGACATTTAAAATGTGATTATCACTGGTTCTCCAAAGAGGGTTAAAATACATCAGAGAAGTCATGAAAATAATTTTATGGTTTAAAAAAATGTCGCTGTATAAAACATCAAGTTAAATAACACAATATATACGAATGCAGGTTTTTCCCCCTTCATTCCAAAATGCCTTTTAAAACTTCTTATACCTTTAATTCAAGCAAATGAGAAGAATGTGACTGAGTGATAATGATGATTATCTCATAATTAACAAAATTAGTTTATTAAAATAAAAAGTATATCAACTACTAATGTGAAAAGAAAGGATGGGGTCTGAGACTTTGGTGTCTCTCTCACCTTTTCACCTTGCTGTCTGGTGATTTCTCTGTCAGTTTCACAGTCCAACTTATTTCCAACTAAGAGAAGTTCTGCATCTTCTGAAGCATACTGTGGAATTTTAAAAGAAGCTGCATTCAAAGATGGGCACTGTCATGTACTGATAGGAAATGTAAACCAAGCCAGTATTTTTTAGTTTTTAATTCACTCCACAAATCTTTGAGTGCCTACTCTGTCCCAGGCAGGACTGATTTCCGTGGTGTATAAGAGCTCTGATGGGGCTCACAGCGCTTGCTTCAGAAAGCGGTGTGGTAACAGGCTTTACAAACCAGTGTTCTTGGCCTTTGACTAATACCTCCTAAGAATCTATCCTAAGGAAATGATTCAAAATATGGGCAAAGTGATCATCAACTGAAAAACCCCTGAAAAATCTAACAAAGTAGATGAATGAAATTAGTTAAGGTATATAAGAGAATGAAGTCACTAGGGAAAAAAACAACGTGCTTTGGGACAACATTAACATGACACACAAGGCCCTCATTATGGAACATTTAGGACCTATAAAACTAAATCAAGTACAGATCCAATCTGGTTTTTCAGGACGGGAGACCCATATATTTTTTAACTAACTTTTGTGCTTTTTTAGATTCTCCACATTTTCAACAGTGACAAGGTATTGTTAATTTTACAATCAGGAAAAAAAGTTCAGCTACAGTTCTTTAGTTTTTAAAAAATACAGGTGCAATACACTGCCTTTAAAAAAGACTACAGAAAAAGGCACCTGAGTGATGTGACCTTGGCACCCTGGCAAGTTACTTGGGGGTCCTGGTCTCCCTGTCAGTGACGGACAGGTAACAGTGCCCACCTGACGGTGCTGGCTCGGAGTGACAATGGTAAGCACTCAAGAAGTGACAGCACTTACTCACAAAAAGGTAAAAAGCAAAAGAATGGAAGGGAGGAGAGCATTAGATCTCAAGGCCTCGGCAGATTCACAAACTGAAATCCTGAAGGGGCCCTCAGGGCTGAAGGTTTTGCTTTGGGTCTGTAGGGCAGCACAGGTCCTGAGTGAAAAATGGAACACCTACCTTATCAATCATCTTCATCCATTTTGGCAAATCATCAAATGTCTCCTTCTTTGTGATATCATATACTAATATGATCCCCTTGGCACTTCTGTAATAAGCTGAGGTAATGCTGTTGAATCTCTCCTGACCTGCTGTGTCCCTAAGAAATAGCAGCAAACATCAGTTCCCGAACAATAACCAGAGTAAGCAAATGCACACACACCACTCTGCCCCCCAGGCTGATTTCTTCTAGTCAGGTCTATGATATGCATTACGATTAGCGGGGGTAGTTTTTATGAGCTAGTTACAGTCCAACAAAAACATTAAGCCCCAATTTCTTTCAAACCAATATTTTGAAAGTAAGAAAATAACGTGTAAAATGATGGAAAGTTTAATACCTCTATGGTAGACAGTTGTTGAGAATGACAAAATGCAGATGAAAACAAGCTATTTAAGTCTACAATTCCCTTTAAACTGACCTTGATGATTAATATTTGATTTTTTTGGAAGATGACCAAGAGACCCCCACTAATGAAAAATGCTATAGATCGGTCTTATTTTCTTAATCCTTAACAGAGTAAGTGGTCAAAGGGAAATGGAGGAGAGATATCAAGTTTGCAAAAATAATAAAAGTTCATTATTCTCTGCTACTTTGAAATCTAAACATTTTTACTTATTCTCCAGGGTGAAGCTGACCATTTCAACATGAAAGATGACTTAAGCACACTAACATGTACTAAAGCCGGCTGAGATATTTTCTCCACCTAGACAGTCAAGAAACTGCCTGAGAACCATCACATATTTACAAATGAGGCTTAACACATCAGGTCTGCTGATCAAGAAATGCATTTCTTTAAAGAGAATCTGTAACTCAGCTTTCCCAGAGAATCCTAACTCCCAGGGGACGCAGTGGGTCACAGGTAGGTCATGGGAGAGTAAGCTAGGGAGTAGTGGAGTAAACTAGAAATAAGGTTCTTCAAAGCTAAGCTACTCAAAGCCTCTATCAGCCTACGAGTTTCCAAAGAGGGAAGAGTGTATAAAACATTTTTTGAATGAATTTGATCAAAGATTACTTCCCCTGAGGTGTGTCTTGTGGGTCCTCTGACAGTGGTGCAGGAACCTGTGGCTTCATCCATTCTGGACATGCTACTAAATTTGCTAATATTATTAAGGGATATATTATTATGCCAAATAAAAAAGCTGTTGGCAAATTCATTTTCACATAAAAAGCAAAGCCATTTGCTTTGTTTCAGAAGACGTAAGATCCTCTGCTTCCCTTGAGTGGAAGGCCTGAGAGGCTGAGGCTGGTCTGGTTTTGCCTTGCAGCACTCAGCAGTGTGCCTAACCCACAGTGGGATGCCAGACACATGCTGAACAAAAGGCTATGTGTTTATAATGTGGAATGTTGATCCCACTTCAAGGCAAAATAAACTTTATTGACTCAGAACTGCCAAAAAATTGGAAAACTGAATGACAGATGGGGAAAGAATTCTTCAAGACTTCTAAAAAAATGTAAAGTCCAAACTAATAGCCACCACCTTCAAGGTGGGTGAGAAGAAACTGATTCAGGTATCATTTCATTTACAGAAGGGACTGATGAATAAAACTATTTCTGGAATCCTAGGCACATGGGGGCATAATTAATACTTTGAAACCAAGAAAGCATCTTTCAGAGATTGAATTCCCAGTCTAATACAAGTTACAGCTTGATCAAATTAAGATTCAATTAAGTATTTTTAACATTTTAAAAATTATGCTGTGCTTTCTGAATACTGTTAAGAAATGTTCCATTTTTTTAAAAAGCCAAAAATCGTAAGTATTTCTCTATTTTGAAATCTGTGATTAGCCACAATAGAGCAACAATATACCTGCACACAAATTTAAATAGCAATCAGATACAAGATCTTCACAGACCATTTTGGAATTACATACTTAAATATCCTAAGTAATTTTTTAACATGTCTTTCAGTGTAAATTAACTCAAATTAATTTCCATGTACATCCGATGAAACAGAATCTAGAGATTGGGGGCTCAAAAACAGAAATCAGAGATAAGGTTTTTAAAATTATTTTTATTTATTGTGGTAAGAACACTTAATGTGAAATCTACCTACCCTAGAAGTAATGTTATCTATAGGCATAATGGTGTACAGCAGATCTCTAGAAATTTTAATGAAAACCCAACAATTGAAGAATAAGAATAGTAATGGGCATGTTTTTTAAAGTTAAATAACCCGTTACATGATTAGGAGTTAGAAACTTTACAATATTTAGAAGTGAGATGTCTCTGTTGGCTATAAGCCAGACACAAAAAGAAGACAGAGATCTCAAAATGCAAAATCTGAGGCAATCCTTTCAACACAAATGAGCAAGTAAGTTTAGCTTACAAAAATCCAATGAGTAAACATAAACTAGTTTACCACTCCCATTAAAGGCCATTCCTTAAATTCCATCTTTTTTGTGCCTGGCTCTGAATGCCGGAGGTAGAAAAGCATTTTCTTTGGAGAGACTATTCCATATTCCCAAAATATGTGGGCTGTGAAAATTATTTTCTGTTCCTCTCAGAAGCTTCTCTGCTTATTTCTCTCTACAAAATTATCTTCTATCACATATGGTCAAAGAATAAAATGCTCATTCAGTTCAACAAGTATTTATTAAATACCTACCTTGTGCCAATACCATACTAATTTCACACAAGTATCTATTTAGAAAAAAAAATTAGGTACAAATAAGATACCAATGCATTGATCAGGCTGTTATCTTTCTGTGAAGCAGCAGAATCCTATTATCTCTCCTCTTTATCTCCCCGAACCTGAATTTTCAGTGTAATAAAGAGCTGACTTCTGGAGATTTGCAGTTTATTAATGTAAGCTAAAGCATCATTTACCATATGACTAGTGAAGTGTGCTATTATTTCTCTCTTTGCTTTTGGTACAAATTGCTAATACAACCATGCTTTGAAAATTCAAAGATTCTTATTTGTTGTATTTAATATATCCATTTAAAGGACAATTATTTAATTGCAGAGCAGGAGCCAAGTTCAGTGTGTGAAAGATTCCACCTCTCCTAAACAGAATGAAAAGAAATGAGCTTGATGTCAACATAAAAATACTATGTAGTTAAAACCAAATTTCCCAGCAGCAAAGACTGGCATGATAGAACAAAGATGCCCATACATGAAGCATTTTAATTCTGTTTGCCTAAATGTAGGAGACAATCTTCATATTTCAAGTCTACTTCAAAACAGTGATTCTTAAGTTACAGTGAATAATTTCCAGGCCAGCATCTGGATGTAAATTCATGGAACTATATTCTAGTTAACATATTTAATTTTAGCTATACTTACATAAAGTTCTCATATACATATATGTTGAACCACTTTAAGCACAGAGATGAGAAAATGGACCTTTTTCTCACAGATAATCAAGGAACTGAAAATGTGGCAGTGACAAAAAATGTGATGTGAAAATGTGACAAAGGTAACTTTTGGTACCTTAAACTTTTAGGAATTCATAGTAAATAATTTTTATCCAGAAATCATTAAGAAAAAATGCACTACTCCTTACAAGACCTCCCTATGAAAACCAGCTGGCAATGCCTCCATGGATTTAGAGTCCAGAGCTATTATTAGCAGAGCACAGTCTACTGAGTCCTTTTGAAGAGCTCTTTCCAACTACAATGACTCCTCCCATGCCCTCAACGGTGACAGAGTGAAGTGAGGATAGCATGCCCACGACAAAGCAGACTCCAGCAGGCATAGCCCAGGGGCTGCTCCCAATGCCAAAATACCAGGCACGATACTTTAAAAAATGAGCCATGACTCCGAATCTTCCTTTCCATCTACTGGACATCAGTAACAAAGACATTTTTTATCCTTTACATAAAATACTTCAGAAAGTAAGAATCTTACTTTGAGTATTATGTGACTAGTGAGTAGCTGGCATTTTGTGGACATATTTACTACTCACTGATAAAAGCCCCTTTAGGAAGAGGTAAGTCCTACTTTCTAACTCAATCACTGGGATATTCCCTGTATAAAACTTGTAATCAACCTTCCAATGTATCCAATGAATCTCTTACTCCCTCCCTCAGTTAGGTTCTTCACCAGTGTTGTGCAATTTAAAGAATTTCAAAAACAGAACCTGAGGAGGGACAAGTCAAGACGAAGCAGAGGAGGAACCATCTGCAGAGGGCAGGGGGCTTGTACATTCAGGAGTAGAGTACAGTTCTGGGGACTTCACTGCAGCAGTTTCCCCAGGGGGTGGGGTTCCTAAGCTGGGGCCCTGTTAGACCAGATTTAAGGGCACTGGTGAGATTCCAGAGGTACCCAATGTATGTCATCAGCATGGACAATCCGAGAGAGTAGAGTTCCAGGGAGGAACAGGCCATGTGGACACACAGCTCTGCTGAGATGAAAACTGAAACATTAAACCCATTAATTAAGACACATCTTTTGAGACAGGACACAATGTCATAATTTGGGTACTGCTGTGATGCAGTGTGCAAGCTTCACAAACCTAATATTGGCTACACAAACCTCTGTGTGGCAGTCTTCTTCAAGAGTATCTCACCCAAAGGTGCTAGGCACTGAGGTGAATGTCCCTGAGTTCTCTCAAGGATGGTCTTTACCTCAGAGAGCTTGTCATTAAAGAGACCCAGCAGCTCATGTGAAAGATATTTTGCTGTCATCTGCAGAGTTCAAAAAATGGCTGCCTTTCCAATCATGGGCTAATATTTTAATACCCACTTTTTGTTATCAAGTATTTAGCCAAGACTCTTAATGTTTCATAAAGGTGTCAAAAATAAAAATATGAGTAACAGAAACAAAAACCCCCAGAACACCACCACCCCAAATCCTGAAAGTCTCAGGCGACCAAATGAAGAGATTACCTCAGACGCCTCCGGAAGGCAAGCACGGCCGGCTTGGCTGCAGCTGTGCCCCGAACAGGGGACACGGATGGAGAATGAAGGCATGGCACTAACACTCAAGCATTAGGTGACCGATGATGCCACAGATGAGGCAGCAATTAACGCAGATGAAAGCAAAGACACACATGGTGGACAAACACTCAGAGCTGAGGTTGACCTGCCGAGAGGAGTTAGTACGCTGAGTACACTGCAGCTGTGGTGTTAAAAACAGAAGGGCATGCTCAGAACACTCCAGCTGTGATGCTTTCCAACCACCACCACACTGACCCTTTCTCCACAGGTCGGTGTCCTAAGGCCACCCGCAGGCTGCTCAGAGCCCAGGGACCGCTCCGAGCACTGACCTCACTCACGGCACAGTGGGGTTAGTCTCCCATATGGTCACAGTGTGAGAAAGGGGCTTCTCTTCAGAAAGCGGCTCTGGATTTGTCTGCAGGCGGCACGAATGGGGGCTCACACCACGTGGCATCAGCCCATGGCCCAGAGGAGCTTGCACCTCTCACAGCAATACTCACACCGTGCCACTGAGGACCGCCCCTCCACTGTCCATGGGCAATCTGCCTTGAAACTGTGCAAATCTGCTTAGGCACATACTGGACTTTACTTGAACCAAACAATACAACTTTAAGAACATGAAGACAAGCACCTGAGCAGCCATTTTGGGGATACAGATTTACTATTATGTTAAATGATTTGAAAATTGAGGCATAAAGGCTCCAAATGAGCTATCATTAAAACAATATCTTCTTTCCACAACTCCCCATGTGCAAAAAGAGTAGGAAATAAGTAGGGTCTTTTCTAATTTCTCTCTCACTGTTCATTTTATTTAAAAATAAGCAAGGGAGAGGAAAAGTAGGAGAGGCAAACCAGCTTGGTTAATTTTATTAGACAAGCGTATGGACTGTTAAACACATACAGCAATTACTGGATGCATACTCGCCCACTTACCAGATTTGTAACCTAATTTTCTTTCCTCTTAGTTCTACAGTTTTGATTTTAAAGTCAACACCTGTAAATAAAACAAACAAAGATGAAGCAAAAACAATGAAGATGGAATTTATCATTAAAAAATCCTATTTGTGTATTTTTTTATAGAATTATCAGGAAAACAAACTAAGAAAATGATACCACTAAAGTTCAAATGCAATGTACCAGTATTTGTGACTACTCAGTTATTCTGTGATTCAATACACGACCATAAAAGTCAAACTATGGTATGTTTTACCCTGAACTCTCTACATACTATTTGCTAGTCATAATTTATAACTATATAAGTTTAGCATAAAAACCATTAAAAATGACATTTAACAATTATATTAACAATTGACTGACTTTAAAAGAATACTAAATGGAATACTGGAAACAATCTTGAGCTCAAACAGCCTTACTCTGAATTAAGAAATTATTCTATTACATTTTTTAGCATTCACAAAAAATTTAGTTAACATATAAATATGGCTTCTTTATTTTACTGTCAATAGTGTGAAATAATTATTTTTAAGAAATTCACTCACACAAACATACCCAATTTGAATATTAAAAAGAAACCACATGTACTACCATTTATTTCCAGTTTAGCCCTTAAAGCTTCAGATAATTTTTTACACCAAGTTTTCATTCATGAATGTGACCTTACATGCATCTCAGTTATAGAAAACTTAAATATTTCAAACAGTACTTTTTACACAACTAAAAAAAAAACAGACCAAAGGGATGTTGGCTAAATTTGAGACCTAGAAATAGGAACTCTCTATGAGAGCTTCTGACTGCTTCACAGAATCCAGGGGCTCAAGGCTGCCAGCAAGTACATTGTGGCCACTCAAGATCACCCCTCCCAGGCTGTCCATCTTATTAGGAACTGATCCCAGGCCTCAAAGTCAGATGATGTTCTTGAGGTGAAGTGAAAGAACATGTGACTGACTTTATAATTAGTAACACACTGTTGACGCCAGTGTGATACCACAAGACAGGTTTACGACCTGTGGTAGGGGTAGGGGTAGCAAACCCTCTACCTGTGCAATAAAGAGAAGTTGCATGAATATAAAATGTCACAAGGAAACAAAGCTAGATGAGAGTCTAATATGTTTCAATTCTTAATCTCTTATACCAGACATGACTTCAAATGTCACTGAACCAAAGCAGGTTAATTCAATTTCACTTTCAGTTCTGGAACCGATTTGCTTTTCAAAGTCCAATGACACTACACAGCCTTGCAACAGGAAGCATGTTTGTGCAGGACCAACAGTCTCAAACAGAGTTCCTTAATGACTCAACCACAGGGAAGAGCATAACTTAAAGCAATATTCTACAAGGCACAGTAAACAGCCTGGAGATATTTGCTATGTTGTGGTTTTACAAATGCACAGCTTAGTGACCAGAAACAGAAATACCTTCTTCCTGATATTAGCTAAAGCCAGGGCCTCATCATGTTACTCTGTAATGGCAATATTACAAATTAAATTCGTATTTTGTTATGACTACTATTTTACTTTTGTTGCCAGTTACTTTAAGACTATCTTTTCTTTTCAGTTTTAGTTAAAGGAGCTGTAACATTTGTAAGACTTGTTAAAGTGGCAGCTACTTTTATTTAAAAGAACAGGCAGATAATACTTCTCTTGTGAGCTCTGCTTCAAATCAAATTAAAAAATTCCCTGAAACTGCCAGTCAGTAATTTTTGTTTAGATCAGGCTGTTTTCTCTTAACAATTATTCTGAGCCTGAACATATCAGACACTCTTTTTCAACCAATCTAAACTTTCCCAATTTTAGCAGTCCTAAAAGAAGACTATTTTGTAACTACAATATGAATAAAAATAAAAGGAAAGAGGACATTAATATTCACAACTGGAATAGGTGGTAATGTTAGCACCAGGTGACTGTAATTATATTAGAATTTTATTAGGAAAACAAAGCAAAAATGAACTGACAGTGAATAGGATTAAGAATCTGTTTAGCCAAAGGGAAGTCTCTCTAGTTTTTCTAAGTATATTAATGATAATTTTACTAGTATCAGAAAAATATACAGTGGCTAAATCTGAAATTCTGTAAAAGAAAAGGGCTCATTAAAATAGTCCTCTGTCGTAAATGAAATATCCTTTACCACATTTAACAGGCACTAAGTAGGATTAAGGACTAGAAATGTACTCCAACTTGGAGTTTGGAAACATATACTTGTAGCAAGGTATACAACTAAACATCTCTAAAAACTTTAAGTCAAAAATATCTCGATGCCTGTTTTTAATATTCCCATGCCTTAGAAATTATAATGCTCCTTAATAAAAGGTAACAAGTCACCAACAGCTTCAAATACTCAGTGGATTCGTTTTAGGATAAGTCAGCGCAGAGCTTATTCTAGGACCAACATTTATTATAAACAAATAGGGACAATAAGGACAGTTCAAGAGAGTTCAAGTCCAAGAACTGGAAACACAGCTGAGGAATGAAGGTAAGGGGCAGGGCAGTCAGAAGGGTTCTGACAGGAAGCTACCTAGGACTTAAAAGGTTTCTGGGCAGACAAGAAGGTTCTCTAAGGAGAGAACAGCAAAGAATGGCACTTCTGTGCCAAGTGCACGGGGTGCTGGCTTAGGTCAGTATGACTGAACTCTATGAGGGCAGGGACTGTCCCCATCAACTATGGAGCAGCAGGGCCCACAGCTTCCCCTGTTAGTCAAGACACCTGTAGGAAAGGAAGGTGGGTTTCCAACAAGGGCCAGGGCCATAAAGGGTCACTGGGCAATAATTCCTATGTCAATGGGCACAGACTGTTTTGAGTTACCTTTTCTTCTTGACCTTAATTTCCTTTAATAATGATGATAGTGGACATCTGTCAAACACTCTGTGCCTGACATGCAGCAGACGGAATCCTACAGTAGTCCAATTAGGTGGACTATGATCCTCATTTTACAGAGGAAGACATCAGAGAGGACAAGGTCATTTGCTTTAAGGTCACATCCTATGCTAGCAGAGTGGTGGAACCTAGATTTAAACTTATAGCACAGCCCACAATGAAAAGCTGTGATAATAAAAGTCAGATGCATGAAAAGTGTGAAATGTTCTGCAGATGACCCAGAGTCACCACAATCAAGTTGTTAAAGTACAAAGCTTAACTCTGCACTGTCTTTTTCTTCCATAAATTTTAGCATTGGCACAAAGAATTGGTGTACTTAGTGCTGTTTAATGTTTCTAAGTTCCCCTTAAGGCAAAACATTTCCAAACATATTGTATTTCTTTTTGCTGGACCATAAGAAGTTACAAAAATGCAAATAGCAATAAACAGAAGCTTCTTTTTTCACATTCCTTTCCAACAAAAAGCTAAATAAAAGCAAAAACACCATGGCCCATGCCTGCAATTACAGCTGAATGGACTTCCCTTTTTTGTTCTCTGCCTATTTTCCCTCCCCTAACACCAAAGATCTGGCTTATTTTACTTACTACTTTCAGACAGTTGAAGGATGTCATAGACTTTGAAATAAGTCTCAACTCAAACAGTGGTTGTGATGTTACTGCCAATTTATAGTAATTACTTGAAGTTTGTATAATGGCTTTTCTTCCAGAGATATTTATGTTATATAGTGTCATCCAATTTTGGACAATAATATTTCTACTAAGAGGGAGGACTTCCAGCATTTCACTGAATTGTGAGAAAATAAACTAAGAAATGAGTCAAGGTCACACAGAAAGAGGTAAATTTAACATCAGAAAACAAGTCCTGAATATGAGGCTAGTCTTCTCCCTATATATCATCCACCAGAGAAGAGTACAAAATAAATTCCCACAGGCGCACACTACGTAAGGGGAAAGGCAACGCCAATAGGCAGACCATCTTTCAATTCCTGTACCGGAAGTATCCAAACTTGCGAAGTCTTTTTATTTAATATTACCTGGCTTTTCCTACTTAAGCTATGTTCTGAGAATTCAAGAAAATAGGAACTGATCGTATCAGAAGTAGGTAATTTTCAAATAGCAAAAATGACTGTTATTTAAAAATGCCTGTTAGGCCTGAAATATCAAATATCTATCCTAAGCTGGGGAAGATCTGCCTCTCCTTCACTCCAGCATGGAATGGCATGTCTCCACTCCAGCATAAGACCACCTGTGTCTCCAAGGCCCTGACACAGGCAGGAGGAGCTCAAGGGGCTTGACTGGAACCCTGCAGTAGGCAGGGAGGTGTGAGGGAGTCTGGGGTCACCGACTCTGAGGGTGAGGCATGGCGGGAACTCGGTGTGCGCCCTCACAGGGCTTGGAAGCACAGGCAGGCAGCTCCACATTCACGGATTCCACTTACACAAGAACTCCGTGGAAGGAGGCTTCTTCCCTTCGTAACAAAGAAACCGAGAACTTCCTTAGGATATTTACTACTCTAAGGGCTTATGTACTGTAACTCACTGCAGCATATCCCCTTAACAATTCTCTGAGGTACATATTACTATTGTCCCCATTCTACAGAAGAAAAAACAGAGAGGTTAGTAACTTGGCAAGATCACCAAGCAAGTATTGAAACATGGACCTGAACCTGGGCTGAATAGGTTCCAGGCTATGTTCTCCCTAATGCTCTGTGCAGCCTCATCTGGTGAACAAGAAAAGGGCAATGGCTGGATGGGAGGTACAAAATATATTTAATATTAAAAAATAATTTTTAAGGGAAATACTATAAAAAATTGAGGAATGCTGGCTGGCTTGGACAGACTGTTACTGAACTTGGAGGCCATTCTCTGCAAGCTGGTTACAGACAGATCCCTATCTGAAGAGCGAGAGAGTCATTTCAACCTGTTGGTCACAAAAGAGGAGAATATTTATGGAGGGAGGAAGAGCTGGTAAATAAAATACCCAGATGCTCAGGTGGTAGATCAGTAATACTGTCTTCATATACCAAAAACATTGACTTTACAACTACTCACACTGGGTCCATAAAAATATAGGAACTGTCAAGTGCATTTTGCACTTTACCCAAATTATTTGGTTACATTTTGATATTCTGTATTCACTTGTATCTATTTCAGTGTGTATCTCT